TAGCCCGCGAAATGGTGGCGCATGAGTTTTCAGCTATATACGCAGTAGTGTATGCTAACTACACGCTTGGTCCCGGAAGGTTTTTTTTTGTGTGTGGTCATCAGGGTGATTAAGGTTAACAAGCGGAGTACGTACGTATCCCGCTAAAGGCAACCTGATAGTCAGCGTTCGTGGCACCCAAACGGAAGCCAGGATTTGCGCATGCGCACCGCGCGGGGTCACGCAACGTGCATAGTCAGCCGGGCGGGGGGGGGGGGGGTGTATAAGCGAAAGTGTTTACACCGTTGAAGACGCATGCCGCCATCGTGACCGCCCGCGTTCCAAAACATCAGCGTGAAGTGCCTCTCCAACAATCCCCCCCCCCCCCCCGATCTTACTTGACGTCAGAGGTAGACCTTCACCCTTCGGCACTTATACGCATGTACATTCGTATATAGGAGCTAGAGTACCACTCTCTCGTGTGGTGGTATGTGGGTGTGTCGTACGCCGCAACACCGGGACATGCTGCATGCAAGTATATACCGCCAGCTGAGATTGTGCGTGGAGCGTGACACCGGAGCCGAAAAAGGTTCTCGCCGTCTGGCCTCTGCTTGCAAAATTGACCCCTCGCTGAGATGTTACCCGCGGTTCTTTGACGTCATATCTGGCCGTGACCTCGCCGCTTTTTTGCGCTGCTTCAGATAAGAGGTATAGCGCCCGATGTGCCCTTTTCGAACCTTATTAGAGCCACCGCTCCTTTGGCTTTACCAACTCCGTGACTCTACGCATCGAGATTATATTACGAGCGCACTCTATAGTAATCGGGAACGTGCTTGTTTGCGAACTTGGAGCTGCATGCCGTGCTATAATTAAAACGACAGGAGCACGTGCATCTTCGTGTCCGTTGTCAAACGCGTGCGACCGCCATTGGTCGGTCGGTAATCCGCGAAGAGCAGCTTAGGCAGCCCAGGTCTTCTCCCTCGTGGACGTTAGGCGAATGTGTGGTAGACAATCTGTTCATAAAAACGACAGAGGGCGGGTTGAGTGATTGGGTCCGGCGATTTCTCGTGAGGATATACTTCGAAAGACGCGCCCTCTGTATACCATTCTTCACTCGGTGTTCTAGGACTCCAGAAAGTTGGCCATCGTGACACTTTTTGTTAGATTTACAGTTATTCAGTCGTCGAAAGTTTCGCGGTGTAGTATCGTCTGCGCGCGGGCTGTGAAAAAAAAAATGTGTAGCTGCATGTCGCAGCGAGTCCTCTCTGACCTGACAGATGATACTTATCGCGTGAGTTGCTTTTGTAGTCTTTGAAATTTCATGCGAACTCCTAAAGTTCTGTTCTACCGTAGCGGAAAAATTTCGCGCGAATAGGACGTACTCGTCTAGTATGGTAAGCGTCTAGTCATCTAGATCACTACATCTAGTAGTCTAGCAAACGTAGTCGTTTATATATTCTCGTCTCGTTCAGTGGAACGCGCTCTTCTGTACGTGTCATGCGATATACGCCTCGGCTCAGCTGGCGCTCAGAGCAGCTTCTTCGAGGTCCATAGCCGAAGGTTCTCTACACCAGAAGTGACGTAAGTGTAGCAGGAGAGGCGGAACGCGTGATATTTCAGACGACGCCCGGAGGGGGTGGAAACAGGAACAATGGAGTCATGTCGAGCACCGATCCATAGGCGCGAGAAAGGGGAGAAGGAAGCGTAGGCGGCCATTTCGAAGCCTCGTCGTCGATTGCTCTCTTTGGGACATGCGTGCGGTCGTTCCCTTCCTCATCGGACTCGTCGCGTAGCTGCCCGCGCTAAGCGATGATCGTAGCGTTCCTAAGGCTGGTTAGGGACTTCTTGTGCTCGTCGGTCGCCAACCTCTGGACCTTCTTCAAGTTCACTCTGTCGGAGCGTAGACTGACCGCGTCTCACGGCGAGGACGCGTCCGAGGTAAATGCCGTCGTTTTATTAATGTACCTTTTTCAAAGGAGGACTCCCCCTAAATGCCGCCATAATTTCCCTAGGGGCTGTTGCAAGTATGATTGATCTTCCCTAAATATGCACCGCAGAGGCAGCAGCGTCCGCCTATGGACCCGGTGATTTCCGCATCCGTTCAAAAGGTCCTTAAGCGTTCTGCATGACTCCGGTTTGATTGTAAACGCTTCCATCGCAGTCCTTTTATAGAAATTTTGCTTTAAAAGCTTCCAAGGACCGACCGTCACTCCACTTGCGTTTGTAGACGCTTGTTCGAGTCACTCTCTATTCCCGCCGTGTGTTTTGCGGCGCTTGGCGCCAAAGTTACGTGTTCGTGATGCGACATGACGAATAGTGTTTACTGTAAGGGCCTATAGAGTTTTCTACAGCGACTCGCCCGGGAGACTCTATCCCTTTACGCACTTTGAATTCGTTCAACCCACGTGTCGGCTACATCGGCGGTGGTCGTACGGTGCGGAAAGTGTTCTGCTAGTATGCCTAGCAGCCTAAGTTGCCCTGTTCTTCGGTTTGTGTCGGGAATAGATCCGACTACTTGCGGCGAGTCGACGCATTTCTTGGACATGTCATGACACAGCCGTCCAAGTCGAGTGAAATTGATTATTATTTTTTTATTGGTAGCATCGTCTAGTCTATGTTGTTACGGGTTAGTAAAGCTGCTACAGTGAGTTATACAGCTGTGAATTTGACATGCACGCAGACGCTGAGTGAAAACGGAAAAAAACATTTGAAATCGGTGTGAACGCAAGAAGCGCACTTACGTATTGTCACTACATCTCGGTCTTCGTTCTATCCTCCCGATTTCAGCAACGTTTGCGACGCGTATGCGCCCACCCGTGCCCTTGGTATTTGTGCCGTGAAAGTCGTGCGCGCATTTACAAACTACAGTTTTTCTTTATAGATACATTTCCCGGTCAGCTTCGAGATGAACGCGAAAGGTTCGTAATTACGGACATTTCACGTTGATCTTTGCTCTTTTCCTCTTTAAACAAGCATCGTTGTTCTAAACCGGAGTGCACGTAAGCCAATCTCTTTCCCTGCAGTCAAAATTTGCGCCATTATCTGCTGCAGCGAACCGTCATTAGACGGCGCGACGCAACATATCTATTCATAGATCCTTCGCAACAACGCGCTAACGAGCTCCATGGCGAATGCTCGTCGACACCGATGGAGCGATGCATAAGAGGGGGTAGGCAGCGCTACAGTAGCAGCTACCGGCCAACACATCGAGGTGGCGACAGCTGCGGATTGTCTACGCACGGGGGAGATAAGCCGGGGCTTTGTCGGCTTGCTTCGCTACCCGGAAGCCGTCCCCCCTCCTCCACTCTTGTAATGAGCTGCTTTGCGTGTTGGTGCGGCCGCGGCTATTGTGCGCTCCCAGGGGCAGCGAGAAGGAAAGAAAAATATGAACAGCAGCCGTGCAGCAGAGAACGTCACCGTCGCACAGCTTCGTCTTCGACGACCGCTCCTCTCGACAACGTGAGCCGCCGGACGACGCTTGAAATTCTCTCGTTCGCTTTCGACGACGCCGTGCCTTTTTAAAAGAGAAAAAAAAAAAACAATGGCGCTCGGTTCGTGCCGTGAGCCGTGCCGACCCCGCGAGTGAATCCACTCCAGAGGAAGGCGCGCCGCCCCTTAACCCATGCTGCAGTCTCTGGAAGTACAAGAGGAAACCATGACGGGCAGTATTTCGCCGCACTCGCATTGCAACGGCAGGGCTCCGTGCCGTGTCCGCCGCCACTCGAGCAGCGTAAGTTGACGAAGCGGCACCCGGCGACGTAACAGTTCTGCATGTTGCTTGCGTCTCTGTTTGCACGAAGCTCGGACCCTGTGCGTTAACCCTCAAGTCTTCTTGTGTTCGTTTCAACGGCATCTCGTGCTTCGATGCATGTACTGATTCAGAGAATTCCGCTATAGCTGCGCCTAATATTGTGGACGTAATGCCACCGCCTCAGCTATACCGTAACGTGGGGTGTAGTACCCGACGGCATCCTACGTATGCGTAGCGCTTGTGCGAGTCATAATTTCGATCCGATGTTGTGGCACGCATCCATCGAAATCCGCGAATCGAAGCGGGTGCGCTCCCCGTCTGTCGTCGCGTCCGACGGTAATAGCGTCTTCCTAACTTGCCCTCTCGCATCTACCGGCATTTCCGACCCGCTTACTCTCCTCATCAGCTCGTGACGTGCGCTCAATCGTAATATCGTTCGACTGTGAAAAATCTGTGCGTCCATCTAACTCGACCCCGCCTCCTGGCCAGTACGAAAATGAGCCAGTCATCCAATCTCGAAGCCTTATTTGGTCGCGCGTGCCAATACGCCCGATATTTTGTTGTTGTTTTCATCTCGAGTGATTCTCCACATTTTCTATTACAGCTAACCTGTCGGAAATTGATTTCGTGTGCGTACTTTTTAATATTGGGTAGTTCACCGTATTTTTAATGACCGGTGAAACTTCTCTGGCAGTTTATTCCCGCCTCTGTGTAGAATTAGATCAAGCTTCACCTGCTGACCATATTATTTATAGTGGTTGTCAGTTAGTCACAATAGTGCAAAGCCATAATAGGTCTTGCAAGCCTATACACCAAATATTTTTTTATTCTCGGTTAATATCTCGCAATATATATTGCAGCATACCCCTCAGAATTTGCCTGTATGCATGTATTTTTAATTACCTGTGTTCTCTATATTTCCACGAGTCTGCGATTGCAGTTAATGCGTGAACACATGTTTTCCATATATCGATAAGTGCTGACACTGCAATTATAGGGTATTTGTGAACACTTGTGTTCTCTGTATTTCTTCGAATACTGACACTGCAACTGCAGTTCTTCCGTGAACACTTGTGTTCTCCTTATTTCATATGCAGTGCCGACACTGCATCTGCAGTTCATTCATGCCTCGCAATCGTGAACTTGATGAAGCTTGACCTGCCAACCAAATTTTTTCTATTTCTTGTTACTTACTTAATCATATCGATGCAAATGCTTTGATGGATTTTTCTGTATCTAAAATTTTCGTGTACTTTTTTTCTCTGTGCAGCCTTCGGGGTGGCGAAAGGTGCGGAACGTTGTCCACTGGTCTCCGTTCGTCCAGACCTACAGGAAATACAAGTACCCATGGATACAGCTCGCGGGGCACCAAGGTACATAGCTGACAAAAAATATGGCACTCTACTTCTGTCACTAATTAGCAGCCATTCCTCATAATTTACTGTATATATGCATAATTAAAAATGTGGGCATAATCGGCCATTAATTAATTGGAATGTGTTTATGGGCCTATTCTTGTCACTTACCGCTAGGCTTCGGTATCTTCTGCACCAAGATTCAGAGTATGAAAGTCAACTTTGATTGTTTTATGTGAAGCTGCGAGTCTGCGAAAATTAGTATGCGCTGTGAATCACCCTTGATCCATCGATAAAGCCATTCTAACTTCTAACATTTTCCCTAATCTTACCAATCCATGCATACAATGGAAGATTTTGCTCACAATGGCTCAGATCTGCATTCTGCCCAAGCAACTGAGGTGTTTGGGCAGTGCACTGATACGCAGCTAAGGACTTTTGCTAATAACGTACATGTCGAAAATGGCCACTAAAGTGAAGGCGTTGCGGTCTCTCCTGCAGGCAATTTTCGCTCGGGCACCCAAGGCACGATTCTCAAGAAGCTGTGCGGCAAGGAGGAGTCCTGCCTGAAACAGCTCATGAGGGATCCCTGGCTGCGGGACTACGTGCCCGAGTTCAAGGGCCGCGTCGAGATGGAGGACTGCAGCAGTAAGTCAATCTTTCCTCTGCCTTTGGCAAATCGCATGGCATAGAAGCGAGCTTTCCCTATACAGGAGTCACTGTTTATTTACTGTTGTGCACAAATTGTGCACATAACAATTGCAACTGGATCAAGACTGTAGAATTGCAGCCGAGCGTGCTCCGCTCTTGAGGAGTGTGACACCTCATGCAATGCCGTAAGGGCAATGTGCAAACAGATGGTCACTATTCGCATAAGCTGTGTTTGGAAAGGTGTGACCGTCGTTCACCAGTCTTATGCCAAAAAATCGCTGGCCCTTGGTACCGCACTAGTTCATTCTTGTTTGCTTGCTTTTCTGAAAAACTAGGCATGAACGTCTCTTCCAGTTTTCTCAGGATGGTATACCTGTGCGATCACATTCTGGAAGGCACGCTTGAACCCAGAACAGTGGTGCTATTGCGTGAAGTACGAGTGAACTGGAACGTTGAATGAAATTCATCCAGAGCACTTGGCTTAGTACCCATGTCATATTTCTGAATTCATACACTGATTGGCTTCATAGGCTTGACGGCTCATGCCGTGGGAGAAAAGGAAAGGGACAGCTGTCCTAGAATCGATGCCAGCACAGAATACAAACTGTGGCTTCGAGCGCCGCAGCCAAGCGTCGTCCTTATTTTTTTTGCGTACCGGGGTGCCAGGGTTTTCTTACTGGGCGGCGGGGAGAGTGGGGCAAAGACAAGCGAGTTCCGTTAGGGGGACTGAGGTGGGGAAGTTTTTCGTTGTGTTTAAACCAGGTTTTCTCGAAGGAGGGGGAGATTCCCAATGCCCCCCCCCCCCCCCCCCCCATGTGGGCTGTGCTCCATCAGAGTTGTAGTCACCACCCAAAAAGGACGGTGTGACAGATTTAGCATAGAGATAACTTGGTATTTGATTCTGACAACTCCTTACCCCTGTACCTGCCAATAAGTTGTATATTATGATTTACGAATGCAGAGGTATTCCCAAAAAAGACTGCTGTTGCTCTTCATATCTGTTAGGTGACAACTTATGTTGCCACGCCTAATGGTGTTGCTTCTTTGTGTGCTTTCTGTGCAGCCTACTTGGAGCTGCAAGACCTGCTCGCTGGATTCCAGTGCCCCTGCGTGATGGACGTCAAAGTGGGCCTGCGCACGTACCTCGAAGAAGAGCTGGCTAAGGCTCGGGAAAAGCCCAAGCTTCGCAAGGTCAGTACAACGAAAGGATGTGTTAACCAGCAACACTGGTTTTCTGTGAATTTACTAAGATTAAAGGAGCTTGACTAGGAAAGCAATAGGAGTGAACTTGTCTAGGCTGCTATGAATACAGTTAATTTGCTGTCAGTGCATACCAGTGGACCTGCTGTATTCGTTGTGGTTTCTTAGAATTCAAAACTGAGAGGTTTGCATAGCTGGGACCTGTTGCATCGTTGTGTGTCATTCTGTCAAGAGCTTGTAGCGACTACAGTACCGGTCTTTTCTACATAAATGCTTATGCTTACTGTGAACAGCTTCACCAATTGCAAGTCAACATTTTTACCCTCTAGATAAACGTAGGAGTTTTGAACTTTGCAGCCACATTGTATATGAAACATGGCATAACTTTTTAATTTCTTTATCTCTCCCAAGAAGCTGCGTGTCATTGCTAACTAATGTTTAGCTTTAGCACCTTTTAAATTACTGATAGCAGGTACCGGTTAAACAAATATTTACCTGGCATACAGTTATCTCACATTTAATGTATTTACTGTACAACTCGGTGTAGTAGCAGTTGAGCTTGGTCCCTGCCATGTTGTCGCGGTTTGCCTTTTATAGTGTACCGAGACTGCACTTGCGAGCATTGTTCCTGATGAGTGTTTGTTGTTGCTTTTGTGCAGGACATGTACGAAAAGATGGTGGCCGTCGACCCAGACGAGCCGACACCCGAGGAGCACGAGCTGAAGGCAGTGACCAAGCCCCGTTACATGATCTGGAGGGAAACCATCAGCTCTACAGCCAGCCTGGGATTCCGCATTGAGGGCATTAAGGTGCGCCTACTTCGTCTTTTGCTGCTCTTGAGTCGAAGTGCTGTTCACATTGCGGGGGTTATGTTGAAGTAGCATCTTGGGTGATGAAAGGAAATCTTTTATATGGGGAACATAAGAGACATGGGTTTTCTTTAAAGCTAGGTTTTTTTTGGGGGGCAGCGCATAGGACTGCTGCAACCCTATTCTTTATTGACCAACACGCCAATATATCATATTCTGGTGAGATGAATTTATTTATCTAGTGCTTAAGCATTCCACGGGAGTATTTTGTAATCATTGTGCAACAAACTGAACTGCGCAATCTCAGGACGTGTTTTAAAGCATGAACCAATTGAGTAAAAAGAATATTCCTGGCTTTCGCCTGTCCAGCTTGTCTGTCGCAGCGCGTAACGTCTGTTGTGCTCCTCATCTAAGGTGGCCATGCTTGTTTTAGTCGACCCGCTAGCTTAACTTTTTTTCTTATTTTTTGCATGCAGAATCCCGATGGAACCTCCACGAAAGACTTTAAGACGACAAAGTCGAGGGAGCAGGTCTTGAATGCCATTGACACTTTCACAAAAGGCTTCGACGATGCACTGGTGAGTCTTTGTAGTGTTGCAGGTTTGAGTGCTGCACGCGTTTGCAGCTACTATATGTGTTCAATCCAGAGAGCCTGAGCAATCCACATTAAGAACATTTTTTTTCAATTGGTCACCTTTATCTCAGACTTGATACTATATTCTCACTAAAAAGAATCAAATATAGCTTGAGCTCAATAGCATAACATAATTTTCTGGTTTACTTTAAGCTTTTCACTGCTCAAACTTGCGTGTTTAGGGAATGCTTAATGCTTTTTCAAAAGTTTCTTGTGCTTAAAACTCAATTACTTGGCAGTATTAAATAAACTTGGCATATCAAGTACATGTAAAGTTTCAAGAGTATAATTTCATTTCAAGCGAATGCCCTTCAGAACAAGCAAATATCTTTGCATCTAGCTAGTGTATGTCATATTTTGTGTACTTGCGGCTCAGTAGCGTCCGTCTTTCGTTACAGGGAAAGTACCTGCAGCGGTTACGATCTCTCTACAACGCATTGGAGCAGTCGGAGTTCTTCTCCACTCACGAGGTACGTACTCATCAGTTGCTCAAGCGAAACATTTTTGTGGTACAAGAGTTTTATGGCACCCAATGAAAAGCCTGGGTGATGTCTGTTATGGGTCGGCAGCGACGATGTTTTGTTCCGCTATTGGTGATTGTTCAAGACAGCCTTGGGTAGTGAGCGTAGAGTGCACATTTTTTTGTTGTTATTAGAACAGAGCCTGAAATGAATGCTTCCATAATCAAGTAATATCAGACAGGTCAATTGTTTTGTAAAGATGCATGAAAATTAAAGCGAGCCTTCATTAGTGTTTGCACAAGTGAATGACGAAGCCTTGTTGTGCTAGCCACATATGTATGAGAAAATAATCTTGGCGTTCTGAATTGCGATTGATCTCCTGGTTTTGTACATGATGAATGTACTATAAAAACTGAAAAATAATTTATTCCTGATGTAGTAAGAGCCTTTTATCTCTTTCTCGCAGTTCATCGGCAGTTCCCTGCTGTTTGTGCACGACAAAATAGGAGCCAGCGTGTGGCTGATCGACTTTGCCAAAACCGTGGCAACACCACCCGGTGTGTCTATAACGCATCGGCAGCCCTGGGAAGTCGGCAACCATGAGGACGGCTACCTCATCGGCCTCTCAAACCTCATCGGCATCTTCGAGGAGCTCCTAGACAACCGCTGCGGCGGTTACTCCAAGAGCCTGCCACCAGAGATACCCGCCTAGGCTCAAGCCTACCCCCCTCCTGGCGTGCCCCCTCAAGTCACAGCATGGCAGCCCTGGACAGTGTTCTTGTGGTGGCCTGTGCCCAGAGGACCTTGTGAACTTGGCACTGAACACTTGCAGGTGAAAGTGCCAACAGCTCCCCCCTCGCCAAGGGGCCAATTTCAATGGTGCTTCACATGGTGCAATGACAGCTGCAGCCAAGAGAGTGCTCTTGCACCTTGTTTCCTCGAGGTGTGCCTGCCAAGATTAGTCCGTCTTTCGAAACTTGGTGAACTCTTCCTGAGGACAATGTGAAATGAAATGCGAGGAGCCTGAGCACAGCTGCTCAGAATGTCGATGCAAAGATGGTGCATTGCATGTGTATGCTTCAGAAACAACTGCTAAAGAGTGTATACGAAGCCTGAGGTAATTCGCTTAGGTATACCTGCAAAGGAGCCCATTAGGTGGGATCACCCAGTGATTTTTCGCTGCTTTTGGTTATGTTTCATGACTGCCGACAAGACTAAAGCCGCGTGCCCGGGCACCGCAGAGAGTGCAGCGCAACACAGTGGCTTGCTGTACTGCCTTTGGGTCATTCAGTGTCTTGAAACAATAGCAAAACGTAAGCGGCTTCACCCTGATTCAAAGAATGGCCCTCTCTTTGGTCAAAAGAGAGTCGTTACAGGGCCTTGTGGATACACACCACCAAGGAATTGTGTGCTGCATTCTTGCAGGGTTGCCGCGCTCGGCTAATTTTGCGGGCTTTCGCGAGGTGGTAGGAAACGACATACCAATGCAATGAGACCTCTCTCACTTTGGCCATGGCTCTATCGCTTCAGTTCTTTTTTTTTTTTTTTCCCCTTGCGTGCTCTGGCGAGCTGTGCATTCAAGCAACACGTTCCATGAGCCGCTGTCACGTTTCGAGGCTATAGCACAATCTCTGGTCCTTTAACGTGGCTGCCACTCACCCCCAAAGCCTCGTTCAGTTTCAAGCCTGATGGCTGTAGGGCACTGCATATGCTAGCATTGTTAACAGTGGACCACGCCGCAGGGTTCTTCGACGAAAAAAACGCAATAACAAAAACCCCTAAGTCGAAGTAAGCTTCGACTACGAGAACTAGGCTTAGCTAATTACTGCTAATGAGCATCTGAAAAATCGCTCTGTCTCGCACACTCGTGAGTGTTCAAGTTCTATGTGGCCACCTTCCTTTTAAAGAAAATTGTTGCAGTGTCTGTGTACTGCTGTTGTTATTGTTGTCTCTTTTATTGAATTTTTGTAAGTTGTGAGCAGCATGGGCGGGTGAAGAGAGGATGCTGCTTCGTTTGAGCTCTTCTGTGGACTTGAGTGTTCAAGCCGCACACCAGAACGCTTTATGAATATCTGCTCGCTAGCATCGATCTCTCTCCACCCTCTTATTGTTCCTGCAGCGTTTTGTTGCTGTTGTTTCGCCCTTGCACCAGTGGTGTGCAAATGGAAGTAAAGAAGGAGATACGAGGATAACTCCTACGTAGGGGGCAGTGTGAGCTTCGTAAACTGTGCCCTTGGTTGGACCAGATGTGAAAGAGCTTGAGGCGTTGTTACTGCCTAAACTTGCATATGCCGAGAAAGGGATCAAAATTGAGCTTAGTTTGTTCATAGTAGCTCGCTGTAAGTTGCTTACAATTATTGGATTACACTGATGTGGCAGTGTGTGCATTCCTGCTGGGGTTTCAGAGTGCTAACCATTGGCTAGCTCACGTTTTGCTAGCATCTTCGAATTGTGAAAGTGCAGCAGTTAATGTCAAGACCATAGTGTTCGAGTGACTGCCGTTGCCGATTGGCTACAGTGGTTGTGTTGAATTAACATAAATGGACAGGCAAATTATTGTGCGCTACGAGTTCAAACGTGGTATATTACGTTAATGAAGTAATGCTTTTAGGAGAGAAAAGTCGCAGCACTTGACATTGCTGACACGTTCTTACACCCCGCACTGAACGATTGCAGTGCTGTTAATTCAATGTTTGAATCTGTGTAGCATTGAAAGCGTACAAGCAGTCAATCGTGCTCGCAGATTTTCGGGTAAGCAATCACCTTCTCTTTTTTTTAACATTCTTGGCATTCTGGAAGGCATTTTTACAGTATTCATCAGCGAGAGACTTGCACATTGCCATCTTTTACACGAGTGCATTGATTTTGCATGTTCCTTGTATTAATAATATAAATGATACAATGGTTAATATAGAAGTCTATTACTTCTGCGAAAAAATTGTAAGTGTTGTGAATGTGTACATAACTTCCATTTTTCTGGTGACTAAACTGCGCAATCTTTCCCAACAGGGAGAGAGAGCATCCAAAAGTTTTGCCATCAAGCTTTCATCACACCTTTATCGTGACTGTTGGGCTGTTCCACATCGAAAAAGCACTTGACGTGGAAAGCCTTGCAGATGTATGTTGTAATTTTTTTTCATTTGCTGCTTTTGTGCCATAACTAATGCGTGTGGAAATGCATGGACGAAGCAGATTCTTTTTTTCTTCCAGCTTGAGAAAAAAAAAATCTGATGACTACACCACCAAACTCTTTGTAGCGCACTCTTGACTGCACCATTGCCATCATGCACCTTGTGTTTTTCTTTGTGTATGTGTAAATAAGAGCAGTGTTTATGTGTCTATTATTTAACGAAAGACTGTGACTAGAAGTGTACATAGAGCAATAAGACTTGACTGTGTTTTCATCTTTCAATGAAGTAAAAATATGTACTGAATGAAATTCCCAGTGGACTTGTCCTTTTTCTTCAGCTGCCTTTCGCCGCACCTGCCTTGTGGCAAAACTGGCAGGAACTGAAATAAGGGAGCAAGCACAGTTACTCTCACATTGAAATGAATCACTTACTTTTATTATGTCATATATGAGTAACTGCCAGCAATAAATGCACATTCACTGTAAATCTGGCTGCAAAAGGTAATGTTGGCTCTAATGTAAGTGTTCGAGCCAGAACTGTGACTATATAGGACATGAACTCAAGATGATTGAAGAAAAAGTATGTGCTTGTGCACTACTTTGCACAAAATTTGTGTGTTTGTCCGTGGGTGCTGTATATATTCTTTGGAATAAATTGGCCTTTTACATACTCCACACAAAAACTTTCACCCCCAGTGGTGGCTTCTAAAAATACTCTAAAATAAGGGCAGTGTTTGCACTGCCTTGACCTACAAGCATAAGCTAATACACATTGCTGCTAAACTTTTTAATTTGCAAAAGTTACCCTAAATAATGGAAAGCAGTGCATTTGTTGTTTTTTTAGCTGTAATACCTGTTGTGTGACGCTAACATGCTGGAGAGATAAAATTCGGCTGCTGCAAGCTGTATAGGAAAGACACCATCTGTACCCAATGAGACAGATTCTCAAGGGAAGGTGAAGGCTTGAGGTGATGAAATTTAACTGGGGTAGTAGCTGGGACCAACGTTCCAACAAAAGGACTTGCATTTTTCCTGACAAACACAAGCCTTCCTGCCAGAATGTTGGCTCCAGTGACATGCCGTGTTCTGTTTTCTTATTGTACCCCTATATACTTATACGATTAAGCGTGCAGCTCAAGGTGGTCCTGCCGTGTTTTTCTTCCTGTGCTTGGTTCTTCCAGATCGCTAAGGAGTTCGTGATGTAGCACTCTTGACAGCAAACTGGCAGGCACAGAGTTGGCCTTGATATTGCTACTGTTAATGATTATTGAACAGCTACTTACAGTTATCAACATAATAGGAGGAGGTAAGTTTATTTACAGAAAGGCAGAGAGGTCGGCCTGAGCGATAGCTTGCTCTAGCCTGCTACTCTACACTGGGGGAAGGGAAAGGGGAAAAGAAAGATGTGAGTATGTAGTGTTCTTTCTAGCTGAGACACATTTCATAGCCGCGCACATAGTCCAGTTGTTTCCAAAAAGGTTATAACTGCTCTTGTGACCGCAGTTGCACTGTTGGTGTCTGGCCAAGGGCCCAACATGGTCTCATCAGTTAATGACCTGCTGCGATATAGTTCAGTCGAAGAAATCAGTGTTTGTCGTTCACGTGCGTATGCTGGGCAGACACAAAATATGTGCTCAAGTGTTTCTGGCACATCACAGTGTTCACAATTAGGACCGGTGTCACTGCGACCGATGATATGTGCGTAACGTCTGGTGTACGCTACACCAAGATGAATGCAGTGGATCATACTGTGAGTTGCCGTTTCAATTTAGGGGGCATGCGGAACCTCATTTCCGGGTCCCATTTGTGAAGTCGCTGGTGTCGCCGTTCCGGTTTGGTCCAGTGCTGAAGTGTGTAGCTGCGCATCACGCAGCGAAGCAGGGCGTTCGTGTCAGCTCGTGAAAACGCAATGCGTACTTCAGGGGCACTGCTTAAGGCATTTTTAGCTTCAGCGTCTGCCTCTTCGTTTCTCATCACGCCGCAATGAGCGGGAATCCACTGGAAAGTTATAAGATGACCATTTGTTGAAGCAACCTGAATAAGTTCTGTGATTTCTATTGCCAAGCTGTAATACGGACCTTGCTTCATGATGCAATTAATGGTTTGCAAAGCAGGTTTGGCATCACAGAAAATCGTCCAGGCTCGAGGTCGCTCTCCGGAAATAAATCTTATTGCCTCCCGGATAGCGACAAGCTCTGCGGCAGTTGATGTGGTTTTATGGTCCACTTTGAATCGTCGAGCGATATCCATGTCTGGGATGACAAAGGCTGCGGCGGAGGTGTTTAGCGTGGTGGATCCGTCGGTGTACACGTGCAGAGAATCACTGTTCGTTGTATAAATGTGATATAGGGTCAGCTGTCTGAGGCCAACAGAAGAAATGAGCGACTTCTTTGTGATTCCAGGTATTGTAAATGAAACAGGTGGTTTAGGCAGGACCCATGGCATAATAAATTCATGTTGACAGTATCAGTGGGAAAGGACAGCTTATTAAGTTTGTCACATGCAGGTGCTCCGCTCGTAAACCTTAAGGATGAAGTTGGTCCCACCTTCCCACCCACTTAAAAAGAAAAAGGAAACGGGCAAGACAAAATTTTGGCTGGCACAGAGTGGATGGAAATAAACATCAACAATGTTGCATCTACATTCGCTGCTCTTTCGCATTCTTTTTCACACGGTTAATTGTAGCCTGAATGTTAATGAAAAGTGCCTAGAGTCATCCATGATACAATCGAAAACCATTCTGGCATCTTTTTATTGCCACAAAGGTCAGACCTTGATGAAGAAAGCACTCTATCCTGTCCGCATTTCTTCCCACTCCTCTTGTATGTGTTGCACATCTGACTGTAATACAAGAAACTAGAGTTGTTGCACTTACGTAAGGCAAGATGAGGAATAATGAGCGGCAGGATACATAAATGTCTGGCCCCAAAGAGGCCCTTTCGAACGCCTTGTGCGAGACCTTTTTCGTGTTTTGCACGAGTTTTGCGCCTTTCGCTCATTGCGTCTGT